CCTTCTTACACTTTGTGTTGTTGCTGGTATTCTCATTAGATGTACTTGTTTATTCAGACCAGGTGGTGATAGTAACAACAACTCTCATGAAATTTTGAAGTCTTCAATATTGTATCCATTTCTTCATCAAATAGTGACTTGTGATGACAAAATGATACTTTATGACAATCGTAATTTATTAGCTCAATAGATTGATCAAATGACGAAGCAACAAAACACTAAGACCGAAATTGCACAAACAGAAGATTATGGTGACTGTTCGGTAGCCCGCCATTGGCGTTATCCATTACAGTTTTTTGGAACCTAACGAGAGCATCACTGCCAAAGATTACGTCCAGCAACTGAATGAAATGTACATTCATTTAAGCAAAATGCGACCAGCACTGGTTAATCAACGATCTCTAAATCTGCTGGATGACAATGCTCGGACAAATATTGTCAGGATGACACTATGGAAGCTCACAGATACAAAACTTTGTCACATCCATCATATTCCCCTGATCTATCGCTTACCACTTTTTCAAACATCTTGAAAAAACATCCCATTGCAAAGATGCGGAAACTGCATTCAAAGTTTTCTTGGCTTCCAAGGCTTTAGAATTTTATCGAAAATGCATAAATAATGTTGAAAATCGATGGAAGAAATATATAGATGTTTAGGGCACCTATTTTATTTCTGAATTAATGTATGTAAACAGTTTTTAATTAAGTCAAAAATTGATACTAAAATCGAACATTATTTTCCGAACAACCTAATAGAGATGCGAGTAATGTTGAGTTGATCCAAGATATCAGTTATACTAATTCCTCCGACTTGGTAGTCTTGGGTATGACTATAAACTACACCCGGTAGCAAGGCACCTGATCAGGAGACTGTTTTGAGGAGCGTGGAACCACCTCTTAATTGCTGTTGTCCCCAGGTCTACCCTTATCCGGGATGGTATCATCTGTTAGCTATGGGCAAATAGTGAACCCTCAAACAAAAATCAGAACACTGGGAAAGTATAAAAATACATTTTTATAGTAGAAATACCAGCGCTGCATCTATATAATAAATGCGAAAATGTCTCTGTGTGTCACATTTTTTCAATTAAAGGTACACAACTGTTAACTTTTAAATATCTAGTCTTTATCTATATAATAAATGCAAACCTCTGTGTTGCTGGCAGATTTTTTCAGTTAAAGGGACACAGCTCTCTGACTTTTAAATATCCTATCTACTGTATGAATAAATGCGAATGTCAGTGTGTCACACTTTTTCAACTTAACTCCTAGCCCAACATATGCCATTTTGGAATTGGGTCGAGTTTGAGTAAATTAAAAACATTCATGGCTGGATCCGGATCTGCAATCCCGAAATTTTGGATTCACAAGTTTTCATTACTGAGATTGTTTTCTTCAATTTTTTTTTTTTTTTTTTTGCGACAATTTTTTTTGTGCAATAACAATTTTTATAGCTTGGAAATGAATTTAGGAATAATCGAAATTAATTGCAAAATCTAGCGAAAGTCACCCATGAAATAAAATTAACTGTATGGAAAGTAAGGACCTACATACATCAAATTTCTTTTTAAATTAAAATGGTAGCAAAAGAATTATCGTTGAACATTTAAAAGGAAAGCTTAAATATTAAGGCAATGTCCAAATGCAGCGATCAATCATGAATTCTTCTGTAGTTTAAAGTTGACTATCGCATACGGCAGCAGTATGCCTCGCAGAAAGAAATCTCCGCGAGTAGAGGACCAGATTGCAATCAAAAGAGCCAAGGCTGCAGCGAGGAAAAGAAAGTCCCGTGCAAATGAAAACCCAGATCAAGCGGCAGCCAGGAAAGCTTCTAATTCTGAGAATATGCAAAGACTCTCAAACTCCTGAACAAGCCGAAGGCTCAATCAAGAGCCTTCCGCAAGAGCTAACTTAAATGCGATAGGTCGGCTTTTAAGCTAATATATATATTACCAGTAATACATTTTCATAATAAAGTAACCATGAAAACATTTTATTGGAAAATTGAAGACATGACATATATTGCCAAAAAAATGTTATGTTTAATCTCATTTCTTGTAAGAAGAAACAAGTTTTAACTTCTAGTTTGATTTTGTAAGATTTTGATTTCTACACTAAATAACCCATACGGGTTGAACCTCCGATCTGGAACTGTGCCAAGTGCACTTATTATTATGAAAGCAACCATGACAATCAGGTGTGTGTGACAGACAAAGAAGCATGCACACACAAAGACACTTTAGTTTCCGAGTGAGGTTCTGATATTTTCTGCATTTCTTTTCTATTTCTTTATCATCATATCGCCTGGTGTGTTGGAACAGTCAAGTTTCAAATCTGATGGGTTTTCTTTTCATTCTTATTCGCGCAGATTAGTGCAGAGGAAGATGGAAATAAAATCAGTCGATATGTCTTTTTCCTCGACATCATGTCAATAATGTCCATTTAGTTGAACTGCTGTTTTTCAGAATCGGCGTTTCCGTGGAAGTGTCTCGTATAATGAGGTTAATGCAAATTGTCTACGATCATGGAATGAGGTGGGAAATTGGGTTAGATGTCAGATGGTCAGGTCGGGTTGGGTCAGAGTTCAAGTCAGATGGACCGAGATTTCCTTTTGACTTGAGCCAGTTCGGAAACTGGTGAACTTTATTAAACTACCACTAAATTAACGAATAGCTACGTTTATTTACGTAGATATTGTATGTACGTATGTAAACTTGAATTAATATAGATCTTGTGCTCCTATAGATATAAGTAGTGTCAAAATATAGTATATCTTTAATAATGTGAGCGCATGGGATGAGGGGTGGGGAGTTTAAACCCATCTTCTTTTTATGTACCATGTCCTTTCAGGATGTAGGCGATCATAGCTCCCCACCTCCTATCCCTTGTAGCTCCCAACAAAGTTCCTTCCCTCTGTCACCTCCTCGAGAGTACGTTCTGTCATCTACTTGCCCAAGCCCGATAGGTATGTCACGCGTTGTTTTCCTTTGTTTCCTTTTCCCACTATTCGACACGTGAGTATCAGATTCTCCAGCCCCCCACTTCCTCATTATGCGTCCCAGGAACTTCAGCTGCTTCTTCCTAATGTTAAGTATAAGCCTCCTCCTTGTTTTCACCCACTCTAAGACCTCATCGTTTCTCACACCCTCGGTCCATGATATCCTTAGCAACCTTCTGTAGAACCATATCTCCGTCGACTCTAGTCTCTTCATCTTTGAGGAAATCGTCCAACATTCGCTGCCGTGGAGAAGGACATGTTACGTAACTTCTCAATATTCTTTTCTTCGTTACCAAAGAACATACATTATTGTTATTTCTATAGCAATGGGTAGTTAGTTAGTCCCAGAGATCAATTCGTTCAGTAGTCAATCAGTTTACCATTATTGTGATCTTGTGTCAAAGCTTAAGTTACGCAGGTAATGGTGATTTTATAAGCATAGCTTAGATGTGGCAGAAAGCCGAAAGTACGGGTTATCCAGTGTGGATCAAACTCGCTTTTCAGTCGTAATTGATCTAAGACAAGCTTGCTAACCATATACCACGTTGAAGTGCCCAAATGATTTTCTAAGTATAGCACAAGGCCGAAAGTGTGAAGAACCCAGTGTGGATCGAACTCAGTCGTAATTCATTTAGTAAGACAAGTTCGATAACCATTATGCCACATCGATGTGCTTACGTTATGCGAGTTAGGGATTTAAGATAAATCGGCGAGCCCTTTTCGAATTTACATTCAGTTCCGTAAAAATACCCTTGGGAAATATAGGCATGCATCTTTTCATCTCTCCACCACTATGTGTTAAATAGCAGAGAAGACACGAATTACTAGACGTAGTTAGCAATTAGTCTAGAAGAAGAACAATTCTGAATTCAAAACCCACCGTGGGTCAGTGAGTATGTAATCCCGCCATTAAAAATAATTATAAAATTGCTGTATACGGAAATGTTATTTTTTTTTACTCGGTTACATGGAACTGATGCTAAAATTCATGCCATGAAGGCGTTGGGCTCCCCAGAACCACCTTGTCTCTCACGGTCTTGGAAAAGCGTCAGAACATCTTCCAGCACCAGATTAAATCCGCTGGAGGTCCTGGCGGACGTCGTTCTAGCAGCGGCGCTGGTCGTCTCCAGTTTCCAGATGGCTGGTAGGGTAATCGTCGCAGGACGGGACCAAGCCAGCGAACACAGCGATGAGGCGGAGAATGCACGCGTGGACAGTTCTTCGGTGGAGTCTTTATTGGACACAAAATCGGATCAGTGTACACATTCTCAATGATCCCGAAAACGCGGAACTCAAATCCATGGACACTGGAGGCGAATGTCTTGCTTAGAGGATACCTCACGATGCCGTATAATAGCACAGAGATGACGGTGGCGTTGTGAACTAGTATCTTGCTGCGTCGAGAGATGTCGCAACGCCGTCAGAGTGGTTTCCAGAGGTATTTCATGGCACCTGCGGCCAGCCCCGGTATTCTATTGATCCCTGTGAGGAGGTCGTCGATGTTTGAGACTTATGAGCTCAAGTATATGGTGTCGCTGCCAATGATACACGGCGATGGATCGGGACCATCTTCCACGTGTATCAGCTTCGAGCAGCAGGGCGGTTAGGTTGTAGTCTCCAAGCCGAACACCAAAGAAGCGGTCGCACAAAGCGTCCATAAGGTGCTTAAGGATGCAGTTGAATAAATCTGGCGCGACTACACATCCCTAGCGGACCCCTCAGCAATCGAGAACCAATCGGAAATCTTTTCGTTGATCTAAACGCAGCACTCAGCGCAGTCATAAACCAAGGTGAAGCGAGCAAGGAGCTTCAGCAGGAGAGAGTGAAGGTGCACAAAATGTTCTACAGTGTCGGTATGTCAACTGTGTCGAAGGCAGCCTTCAGATCGGTAAAAGTGGCGGTTTCTGTGGTATGGACGAGGAGCCGAAGAGCGGAGATGTGATCGGAGGTGGAGCGGGTGGGTACGAAACCAACTTGTTGAGGGCGGAGTTTAGATCTGATGGCAGGGAGTTGCGCGGTCAATGAGAATCCGTGTGAAGAGTTTGGCCGGGATGAAGAGGAGGGTGATTTCTCGGTTGTTGTCGCACACAAGATTATCACTCTTCCTCTTCCAGAAAGGAAGGATGACATCGGATCGCCACTCACCCGGACGTTCCTTCATCACCCACGCTTGGTTGATGACCAACAGCCAGTCGACCATGTAGTCCCCACCTCTCTTGAATTCGGCGGTGATGTTGCAGATCTCTGGGAAAGCTTATTTTTTTGGAGATTGCGGAAGACCTTCGCTACTTCGTGTGTGCTAATCGCATCTGTACAGTAATCACTATTGTAGTCAGTGGTGGCGGTGGCGGCGTTGAAGTGATCACGGTTGGGCGGAGGAGGTTGGCGACAGCGCGAAAGGTTAGGCATGTACCTTACGACTCTTTGGCCGGCAGCACCTTTTCGTTTCGCAAGCTCGTTGTCCTAGTAGAGCTTGCGGTCAACCTGGGTAGAGATGTTCTGTGCAATGTTCCGTCTGCGATACTGGGATATGTCGAGGGTGAGACGAGCGGCAGAACAACACTCTATAATGCAGTGGGCCTCGTCGGAGATCCAGGGATGCCGGGACCCGGGTACATGGTACAGGATGTTGATAAAATATTCTGACAATCTTGTGACATAACACTCATTGCAGCGTCTGCATTTGAGCATTACATGATGTCGCATGTAGTGAAAGAGCATCGGTTCAAGATCTTTGTAGTTTCACGCTACCTTAATTCTTTATATCTCACATGCCCTGTTCATGTTATTCTCAACATTCGTGAAGGCTCATTTGACCACTGTTTTCAACATCGATGAACCACCGATGCATTACGTCTAACATGCGCAGTGATTATCAGAAATGACAACGTATCTTGTCAAGGGCCCAACTTCCGACTACTTCGAAATGGCTTCCATTGAACAAAAGGAGCATGTGTTCATCTCCGTGATGCTGCACCCAACTGCTGCCAATACTCATAAAGGGAAAGCTGAAAATTTTGGGATATAAAGAGGAAATAATGTTTGGTGAATTTAACACTCACATGGCAAAGGAAGAAAAGAAGCAATTGGAAACACCAAATAAACTACCTGTGATTGGGTAAATGTTTGGAAGAACGAGAACAAGTTAGGGTGGTTGCATTGTGGAGCAGTCTCCGGAGAGGGTGCTTCCCCGATCACAACACCCTTAATATCATCGTCTAAGGTCAATATTATTTATTCAACATATCCTCGCAACATGAACCTCTTGCTCCCGATCTATACGCACTTATTTAGTAAACTTCTATCTTGAGTGGCTCTTGAGTCTTGTATTTGGTGAACAACAGTAAAAAGGAGTAAGTGTTACTTATAGTAACAAAATACAAGATGTTGTGGAGAGCCATGATCACCCAAGTCTTGAATAATCATAAACTATAAATCTTCTTTTGACAGAAGACGCGGTATCAATAGTAAATAGGTTTTACAATAATGTTTATCCCATAAATGGCCCAAGATTCATTCAAGGTAGTGGGTTACAGAGTTTGAGGTAAAAGGCACAGTTTGTGGGGATATGTGGGGGAAATTAAACCCCTAAAGTGTCAACACGCACTGTTGGTAATCGTTTATTTATAGGCGCCATAGTAAGTACTTAGGTAAAAAAAACAAAAAAAACTACGGGGACTTCCTTGATGAATTTTATCTTATCAAGAGACAACTAGACAGGATTATCATAAAAATAGACATATGTCTATATTATTCAATGAAATATGTTTGAATATATATAGTCGGCCACACATTTCGGGTACACTCTTTTACTCGGGCAGCTAAACAATCTCTGTTGCAGACACATGCCCAGCACCTTTGTTTTTTCAATACTTACAAATGTCACCTGTGGTTCATACTTCAACTATGTGGATCCTTAGTGATAGTTTCAGAGAGAGATCGCCTAATCTAAAGTGAACAGTATTTTGAAAAATGCCAAGACGCATAAACCCTTGGTCACGATGACTTGTGTTTTTTTGCTAGCAGAGAAATTGAATGCTTCCAAACATATCTGTCTACCCAATTTCACTGACAAGGTTTTGTTTTCAGAGACTTTCCAAAGGTCATGTACGCTAGGATCGATCAAAGGCCGATAATATCAAGTCAAGGTGTCACTTTCCTGACAAATCGACCATGGTGAGATTCGAACCACTCTTTTATATATATATATATATATATATATATATATATATATATATATTAGGAGTGCACAAGATTTCACAGTGCCCCCTTTTTGAAACTTCGCCTATATGTGCGCGTGCTAAGAAGCAAGCGTTTTCTATAATAAAAGTTTTACTACAATGCATTCAATCACTACATTAAAAAAAAAACGGCTCCTTATATATATATATATATATATATATATATATATATATATATATATATATATATATATATATATATTCTGTGTGCATATATATACAAAAAGCCTTCGGTAAGCATTGTCATCATTCAAGAATCAAGATTAAACGTTTTTCTTTCATGAAAATCACGAAGGTAAAAAAAAAAAAAATGGAATTGTATTATGAGTGAATTGGCAGGATTTTCGTGGGGTTACGAGCTGTTGTCTTGGGGTAATTTTCCGCTTCTTAGTAGAGGATGCCAACTTTTCGTTTCGACAATTTCTAATCTCTCGTCTTTGTTTAGTTTTTCAACCATTCTGATACATTTTTATCTCTCGGTACAGACTTAATAACAGTTCGACCTTGTAGCATTCGAAAGTGATACTCGGATTCTTCTGTTTAGAATGTTTGCTTTATAATTTCTAGACTTGTTTATCATTGTCTTTCGTCAATGTTTTGTTTTTATAGGTGTTTCTGAATAACCTTTTTTGTGCATTGCTTTCTTCCTGTTTCTATTCTTTTTTCATTACATTTTTTACTTTTTAATTTTTTCTTTTTTTTTTTTCATCTTTTATTTCATTTTGTCGCTCTTTTTCTACCGCTCCTTCTTGTTGCTATTCTGCCTCCTCGCCTTCGCTCCTTCTCTTTCCTCTCTTAGCCTTCGCTCCTTCTCTTGCCTCTCTTAGCCTTCGCTCCTTCTCTTGCCTCTCTTAGCCTTCGCTCTTTCTCTTGCCTCTCTTAGCCTTCGCTCCTTCTCTTGCCTCTCTTAGCTTTCGCTTGCCTCTCTTAGCCTTCGCTCCTTCTCTTGCCTCTCTTAGCCTTCGCTCTTTCTCTTGCCTCTCCGTTAAATTCCTTTCTGTTTTTTCTTTTCGTTGTCGTGATTCTCATCGTTCACTCTTTCTCCTCCTTGTACTTCTTTTACCCGTCCTTGTCACTATACCTCTTTTTTTTCGTCCTCTTCTTCCATACTTTATTTTCTTTTTTATTCTCTCTTGCTTACGTATTTCATCTCCCCTATTATTTATTTTCCTAATGATACAGCAAACAGCATTTACAACTGCATTCTTTTTCTATGGACATAATTTCTTGCGCAATTATTTCTCGGGTGGACTTCGAATTTATAACACAACCTGCGGAATCTGTTAACAATTCTTCTCGATGCTATTTTTCTACGCTAAAGTTTTTCTTAGCGTATAACGTAGAACTGAAATATTTTTAATTTTCCATCCACAGCAGTGTTTATACTGTGCCGTTTTCCCCTCGATTCTTGCCTAACTCTCATATACGTTCATCACGTTAATATGAAACCTTATCTCTTAACGATGTTATTGTATCAGCGTTATTGCTTTCTTTCTTTCTTCATGGCGACCCCTCCCTTTCATCTGGCTTTCTTTCATTTCACATGACTTATTTTTCCTCCCAGTTTTCTTTCTTTTTACAGCTTTTATTTTCCCTGCGTCTTTCTTTCTTGGCTTACGGCCACATTACGTCGAAACATCGGACCTCATACTATCACCGAAGTTAAGCAACGTCGAGCCTGGTCAGTAACTTGTGGCGTAACCCCTTGGAAATACCAGGTGATGTAATCTTGGATGTGCGGATGGTGTAATTGATAATGGGTCGGAATTGTTGATCGGAAAGCCGAGTTCCAATTCCCGATGGGTCCGTTATATTCACTTACACGCCAGTACCTTTGGGAAAGGTATGAATCCATCTCTTCTACTCCCCCCCCAGATATATGTTAATTAGTAAGATTTATATCATTAAAACCATTATCTCTAAAAAATAAAATCAACTTGCGTACAAAATATTCAGATTTCGGCATTAAATAACGGATGGAGTCTTATATTAATCAACCAACAAAATGTTTTTTTTTTTGTTAACCCTGTTCACATTTGAGTGAGGTTCACTCTGTACAAGGCTCGGGAGCCACTCGAAGTAGAGGGTTACGTTAAGGGGTAGTTTATACGGATAGGAGGGGGAAGATAACGATTTTGTGATCGGGGAAACATCCTCTTGGGAGTCGGTTCTACAGGGCAGTGGTTCGGGGGGAAGAAGCTGCTCGAGTAGAACTTACTTCTCACCAATGGAATACAGAGAGAATGAGGGTGGTTTGCTACAATGTAAGTGGCATGGCGGGTCCTAGCCGTGAAGGTTAGAATTGATGGAACTAAGCAATGTAGTTCGTCTGAGAACTTTCTATGGAATTAGAGAGAGCAGTGAGAGGCTGGTTACATCTGTGAGAGAGGTGTTGCAGGGTGGAAAACAATTTGTCACCCACAAGAATCCGGAGACGCTTTTGGACACTATTGAGATTGGAAAGTGAGGATTTGTCAGTTTCTTCCCAAATATGACAGTAGTACCCTATTTTAGGTCTTATCTGACTCTTGTAAAGGTAGATCATAGCACGAGGGTCAAGTACTTACTGGATCGGTGCAGGGAATCGACCATTTTTCTTGCATCTTTCATGGATCATGAATATTTTGACACTATTTCTTTTGGCAATACTCGTGTTTTTCAGCATATCTGCTCTTCATATATTTGTTCTAATAATAAATACAATAAATTTCTTTAGTTATCTTATGACTGTCTCTACTCTGAGTAAGCCCGCACTTCAGTGGCAGAATAAATCAGTCGATTTATCATGCCTCTGAAGTGCAGATTGGAGACCCTTCTTCGGCTGGGAGATTCTTCTTCTTTTTCTGGCCGTGTCCCTTCGAGACGTTGGCGATCATGGCACTCTACAACTTCCTGTCCTTTGTAGCTTTTAATAAATTTTGTACTTTTGTTATCTCTAAATTTTGTTCCGCTATCCATTTACTCAAGCTTACTAGGTAGGTTATGTATTTTCTTCTGTCCCACTTGCCTTCACTCTGACTTGTCAGTATTAAAATTTCCAAGCCTTCTTTCCTCATATCTCCTAGAAATTTGAACTCTTTCTTTCTGATGTTAAGTATAAATGATTTTTTATTACTAATTTTCTTTAATATTGAATATTCTGTTTACAAAATTTGCTTGCCTTAAAAGCCTTATCCTGCAATTATATACTGATCGACGTTATTTTTAGTTGTAAACAACCTGCTATTATTAAACAAAAAATAATTATATCTAAATTTGTAACGCAGTCAGCTCGCGTTACTGTGTAAAGGAAATCACAAACCATCGGTTAGCTTATTATATTATTGACCTTCATTTACATATATAACTGATGTTCTGAAAGGTATAGTCTCGTTCTAAACAAATGGAAAGAGAATTGGATTTAAAATCGGCAAGGGTTTTCTGTTAAAATCCTTCCTTTCAGTCAGCAACGACCATGTCGTTAATGTAATCTGAGATGAAACGCTATGAGTCTGCCATTAGTGACGATGATAATGTTGAGATGAACAATAAGCTGGACACTCACCAGTCCTCGATGAGTCTAGCTTTGGTTTTGGTTTTATCACTACTGCTGTAACAAACGCCGTCGCAGATGGAGACAAACACGAATATTTGTGATTAGTGGAACATGGCCAAATTCGTGCGGAAACTCGGAAAATAATGGCACGTCTTTTTCATTAGGTCCTGACATTGCTGACGGCTGTTGTGGAAGAGGATGTGGGGTTTTGAGCTATAGTAGTGATTGTTGGATGGTGGGAATAATTAAGCTGATGGAAGCGTGTAGATTTCTAGAAAGCTGGATCTGTCCACACAGTGATTGTTGCGCGCTTTTGGACGTCGCATCTTGAGAGGGAAAAGATTGAATGACAGCCTCGTGAACTATTGGGTATTTTTTTTAATCGAGTCACGATTCGTTTAAAAGGTCAAAATAATTGCTTGGCTAATACGAACCAGAAGATTAGGAAGACTTTTATTCACTTTCTTTTTGACGAAAATTATTTATCTTAGCACAATCCCGGGAGGTACGCGCATATGGAAGGATACATGTTATTGTAAGTAAATCAACTATCATTATTATATACAGATCTCTTTCAGAGGTAAGAAGGAGCAAATACGCACACACTTTATACTCTAACTGGCCCTCATATATTAGAAGGGTGGCAGAGAGATAGAGGAATTGTGAACTTCCCCCTCTCTATATAACTATTATACAGCAGCACTTGTAAGCAGTGACATACTAAGAGGGAATGAGGACAATACAGAGCAGCGTCCTGGGTAAGACGATAAGAGTCCAAGATCAAGGCCTCTGATCAGGAGGTTTTGAGGTGCGTATAACCACCTCTTAATTGCTGGTGTTCCCAGGTTCACCCTATGGTTAAATAGTTAACCCCCAAACTGGGATGAAAACACTATGAAAGTGTAACAATAGGTTTTAATACCAGAAATACTTTTTAAAAAAAATATTGCCAGCAATAAATTTTTGAAGAAATATTATTACCAGCAATACATTTTTGAAAAAAAATATAACCAGCAATAAAAATCTTGTTGGCATTAAATAACCCATTGCCATTGATATGCCGTAAACAAAACCAAACATTTAAAAGAAAAATAAGTAAAAATAAAATACCAGCTGTACATTTTTTTGAAAAAATATTACCAGCGATTCATTTTTGAAGAAAAAATATTACCAGAAAGATTATTGAATGAAAAAAAAAAAATATTACCAGCAATAAAAAACTGTTGTCATTCAATAACCCATTGTGGTTGATATGCCGTAAAACAAACCAAACCAATATAGAGCAGTGTGAAAAGTCATAGAATATTCTTTCGTCAATAATACCGGTGGAATGAGCAGTAGTTCAGGAAGAAAAGTACCCGAGGGTGCTTGTCCTATAACTGAAACAATAGAACTTCCCAATTACAAATAAAAACAAATAGGAAAGTGCTAAAATAAAAAAGAAATCCCTAATGTGAAGTCTTCTTCTTTTATGTGCCGTGTAACTTCAGGACGTAGGCGATCATGGCACTCCACTTTTCTCTATCCATTGTAGCTCTCAATATATTTTGTCCTTTTGCTACTTTTCCCAAACATTGTTCCGTCATTCACTTGCTTAAGCCCGCCACGTATGCCACGCGTTGCTTTCCCTTGTCTCTCTTGCCCTGTATCCGCCCTGTGAGTATCAGATTCTCCAAGCCCTCTTTTCTCATTACGTGTCCCAGAAACATCAGCTGGCTCTTCCTGATGTTAAGTATAAGCTGCTTCCTTGTTTGCACCCTCTCCAAAATTTCATCGTTGCTCACATGTTCGGTCCATGGTATCCTTAGCATACTCCTGTAGAATCATACCTTCGTTGCCTCGAGTCTCTTCTTCATCTTTGAGAAGACCGTCCAATATTCGCTGCCTCAAAGAAGGACAGATATCACAAGGGTGTCTATAATAGATACAACCTGGTCATCATTATCTATGCACCGTGTCTCTTTATGTTATCATAACTCTCCACAACTTAACCTTTATTTACACTGTTCGGACTGTTGTCCTCATCTTTGTCATATATTCACGACATTTCGGCTTTTGTACGCTCCGGCCTTCTTCAGGTGATATCCATACAACGGCCGAAATGTCATGAATATGACAAAGATGAGGACAACAGTCAGAACGATGTAAATAGTTACAATACCACATCTTAGAAATATAGACAGATTTTCTTATCCTTTGTAACTCTTAGGAATGTTTGTCTCTATTCCTGTTCCGCCAACAACTTTCATAAGATTGTTAGGTCGGTTACTTGCTGCTTTCCTCTGTCCCTCTTACCTTTAGTATGCCTTGTGAATATCAAATTCTCCAAGTCCTCTTTCCTTGTGTGTCTTAGAAATTTCAACTGTTTTTCTGATTCTAAGTATAAGTGTCTTTTTTTATTTCCATTTTCCTTAAAACTCCTTCGTAATTTACATGTTCATTCCATGTGATTCTCAGCATCCTTCTGTAGAACCATATTTGTTACCTCAAGTTTGTTCTTCTGTGATAAAATTGCCCATCATTCACTGCTATATACAAGGACCGATATTATATAGTTCAGAACACTTTTCTTGGTTTCTAATGAAATTTCTTTCTACTTCTAAAGTGGGTTTTTCGTACAGTTTTTACTTTAAGTGCGTAGGTTTTGTCGATGGGGTTTTTGTCTTACATCTATTATATCGGTCTTTCCAAGTACATGTAACATAGTAATTCTTTCGTCATGGCCAATTAATAATTAGATACATGATTGTCTTCAGGTTATGATATATAACACAAGTAAAATATCTAAGCATTTTAAAAATGCGGCTTCTAAATTTAGCACTTTTACGTTGTCAAAAGGCTTTTCATCTGAAGTGAACGAATTACAATTTTTATCAAACATGTCATCCACAGTGAAACCGAAATCGTACAAGTGCTTCTTTTATACGAAGATCAGAGTATTGGAGTTGTTTCACGTATTTTTAAATATTTGTTTTGTTTACATTTCCGTTTAAATGTTAAAAAAAAAACAAT